AAGTGTATAGAAACCAGTTGCAATTGTATATATCAGCTTGATGAATTATCCCATAAATTTTTAAATTTGTGACTCATTCATTCTTTTAATGTTTAAAAGTTACAGAACTGTTCTACAAGTATTCTAGCTTGATGCAGTAATTGCATTCTCTCTCAGTCAAAGTAGCAGATTTGCTCAAATGAAATGTAGGTGCAGCTTCTTATTTTCGTGTATTAGGCTTTTTTCAATTTTTAAAAAACTGGGTAGTGAAGACCCCCTTCCTTTTATAGTTAATATAATTTATTTGCTTTCAGGCACCTCTTTCTGATTCCAGTTAAATATTTCAAGTTTTTGTTCATTTTTTTTAATGCCAGGCTTTGTTTCAGGATCTACATATTTCGCAAACCTGAGTGAGAGCATGCGAGGGGGGTTAAGTGACATGATCCCAGGATCATCAGACAGCCTCTACAAGGAAGTGGGGCATCTGGGAAGACAAGGCCAGGGAACAGGCATCACCCACTCCTCCAAGCCTTGTGATGCCTCTGCTGACCCTCGGCAGTATGCCATGGAGGTGTGCCAGCGGAGATTACCTCAGGAAGGAGTCTACAATGGCGGGTCTTACCCATCATGCAGCGGGGAAGTGACGAGGCCCAACCACACTACTCATCACGAGCAGAGGACAGCAGCCTATGAGGACTACTCACGGATGGGAGTTTATACGGAGGATGGCAGCAGCAGGGGGTGGGACGGGATGGGAAATTGCGGCACGTCTCGCTCTGCCACTGGCGCCAACCATACTGCCCACCCCTACACATATTCCTATACTGACTGTCGTCTGGATGCGGCCTGGAACAAGTGTGTGGCTGGAATGGGCATTGGGGGACCCATGGCTGGACCCAGTGGAGAGAATTTCCCCTCACAGGAGCACCAGGTGGACTCCCCTCAAGTGAAGACCACAGCACGGGGCGCCACCAGCCACACCCTGGCAGTTAATGTCAATATGGGGATGCCTTCTGGGGATCCCTCAATGACCCGCTCCCACTACGATTATCAGCCCTTGCCAGGCGCTCAGATTCCACCCTTCCTACCCTATCTCACACCTCTGAACTATCAGCAAGTAACTGATGTTGTTGACAGACGGGTTGAAACACGTGCTGATCACAGAGCTGTAAATCGTTCAGATGTGCAGGTAAGTCAGTAGTTCTTATTTTTTCTCCCATTAGTATAGTGTGCAGTGTCTTTAACCTATAAACCAGTTCAAGTCTACTGAAGTCACATGTGATTATAAGCATACTTAACATCTTTATGCTACATTTATGTATGTACACCTTTCATTTAACTGTACTGTCCACTATAGTTTGGTTTTGTAAATTTTACTTACAAATAGATGGCTCCATAAGTTCTCATTCAAAAAGGAGTCAATTAGTAGGCCCTACATTGCTTCTATCTGTTTTCCCCATTCCTTGAAGTTTGGGGAAAAATTATGATGCCAATTATATTGATCCTGTTCATATTGTCTGCTGGCCTTATGATTATTATAATCGTATTAATAATACAATTAGTAATTAGGAATAAAAAAGTATCTTGCCAAAAATCAAGGGACAGGGTATACAGGTGAGATAGGTAGAATTAGTAGCTTAAGTACTTGTGAGGCTATGTATACATATACAAAACTAATTAGCTAAAATCACAGTGAACATGACATGTATGTACATGCCATTTGGGCACCAGCAGGTGATACAGCAGATCTTTGTTATGGAGAATATGACCCAAATTAAAACCTTCCACTGTTGATTGTTTTAGAACTGTGCTGGACAAGGAACTTCAACAAATTCACGTCATCTTGAACAGGCTGCAGCCCCATCAGAGAAGCATGTGGTCCACTCTATACCACCTTCAGGCAATGTAGCTCCAACAATGTCTCATACTCAGCCCACAGACACTCAGAGAAGTGTCAGTGGCCACATCAATACGTCAGCTAGCACCCACAACACACACCAGGAGTGTCTTGGGCAAAACAAGAACATTGTGGTGGACCAAGTGCAGGTATTTTGGAGACACAGCTCTGTTATCAGTCTATGTTCTTTTCACTCTTATGAGTTATTGATAGCCATAATATATGGTCATTTTCTAGTAAATTACCCCAAGTTAGGTACCAGAAAGATTATCCATTTCTCCTCATATTCCTCCAGTCATGCACTCATATGAATCTCAAGAAGAAAACCTCGGAAGCAGGCACCGACAACCAGCTGTGTGGCTCATGCAGTGGAGGAACTACCATAGCAGAGACCCAGCAGGGAACCATCAGTAATGCGAGCATGATCGGCAGTGGCGTTCTTGTTGTCCCCGCAGAAGGAGTGATACCTTGTCCCATTGAGTCACTGGTCGCTGCTGTAGCCAAGGTGTGTTCTTAGTAGAGGTTGACTTGCTGGGGGTGGTTATAGAACTGTTAGCTTGGTCCCCACATTAGCATTAGTTCCAGGGGCCAGGGCTGAACCTGAGTAGTGGAACCTGAGCTTTA